GCTTAGAGCTGAGTGTGACAGTGGCATGCCTTTAATCCCAACACTTGGGAGACAGAGGTAGGTAGATCTCTGAGTGCACAGACACTCTTTCAGGACAGCAAAGCTTAGGCAGTGAAGGACAGAAAGCTGGTAAAAATATAATTGAACATGGAGGCCATGTTCCAGCCCCAGCAAGCAGCAGAACTTGGCAGCTATGGCCCACATGGTTCTGGCTTTAAGTATAAAAGAAAGGGATTATGGAATATTCCCCCATGTATAAGGAAAGCCACTGAGGCCTGGTGTATGTCAGGGGTGTCCCTGAATTGAGGCCTATATAGACCATTGCATGAAACTGTGATGGTGAAACCTGGATTGCCTTGGAGACCCCAAGTTGTTAGAGATGCCAAAGTTTGGGGTACCTGCCAAGGAAGGTTGCTAACAGGGAGTGGAACCAGCCCAAGAGAAAGAAGTGTGTTGCAGTCAACAAAGCTGAAAGGAGTGAGAGATCTGAAGAGCATTTTGACAACAGACATGAAGATGCAGACTTTGGAGTTTATATAGCTGATTTTTTATCTTGCTTTCCAGTATTTCCTCACTATGTTCCCTTCCCTATATTTTAGAACACTAATGTGTATAATGTGCCATTATATGTTGGAAGTATATGATCTATGTTTTTTATTTTGATTCTACAGGGGATTGCAGTTAAGAGAGTGCATGAATCTCAGAAGAGACTTTGAACTTCGGGTTTTTTTTATTCATTTTATATAACAATGACAGATCCCCCCTCATCCTTCCTCCCACTCACCCCCACACCTCCCCCCCCCAACCTACCCCTCATCCCCTCCTCCAAGAGGGTATGTTCTACCATGGAGAGACAGCTAAGCCTGGTACATTTGGTTAAGGCAGGACCAAGCCCCTTCCTGCTGCATCAAAGATGAGCAAAGTGTCCAACCATAGGTAATGGGATCCAGAAATCCAGCCCATGCACTGGAGATAGAACCTGATCACACTGACAGGGGCCCCTCAAACAGACCCAGCTACACAACTGACTCCTGTATACAGAGGGTCTAGTCTGGTCCCATGCATGCTTCACAGCTATCAGTCTAAAATTTGTATGTTCCTTTGAGCTTGGTTCAGTTGTCTCTATAGATTTCCCCATTATGCTCTTGACACCCCTTCCTCATATAATCCCTCTTCCATCTCTTCAACTGGACTCCTAGAGCTTGGCCTGGTTCTTGGCTATGGAAATCTGTATCTGCTTCCACCAGTTACTGGATCAAGGCTCTATGTTGACAGTGAGTATTCACCAATCTGATTACTGGGGTAGGCCACTTCAGGCACCCTCACCACTATTGCTAGTAGTCTAGTCTGGGGTTGTCCTTGTGGGTTTCTGGGAATTTCCCTAGTACCAGGTTTCTCCCTTACCCCATGCCCCCTCTATAAAGTAACCTCTTTCATTGCTCTCCCACTCTGTCCCTCCCCCAGCTCAACCATCCTATTCCCTCATGTTCTCTCCCCCATCCCCTCCCCTCAATTGCCCTCCCTCATCCCCAGTTTACTCATGAGGATCTCCTCTGTTTCCCTTTCCCAAGGTGATCCGTACATCCCTCTTATGGTCCTCCTTGTTTCCTAGCTTCTCTGGAGCTGTGGGTTGTAGTCTGGTTATCCTTTGCTTTACCCTAGTATCCACTTATGAGTGAGTACATACCATGTTTGTCTTTCTGAGTCTGGGCTACCTCACTCAGGATGGTATTTTCTAGTTCCATCCATTTGCTGCAAATTTCATGATGTCATTGTTTTTTACAGCTGAGTAATACTACATTGTGTATATGTATCACATTTTCTTTATCCATTCTTCAGTTGAGGGGCATCTAAGTTGTTTCCAGGTTTGGGCTATTATGAATAATGCTGCTATGAACATAGTTGAGCAAGTGTCCTTGTGGTATGATTGAGCATCCCTTGGGTATATGCCCAAAAGTGGTATCATTGGGTATTGGTAGATTGATTGCCAATTTTCTGAGAAACTGCCATACTGATTTCCAAAGTGGCTATACAAGTTTGAACTCCCACCAACAGTGCTCCTTGCTCCACATCCTCTACAACATAAGTTGTCATCAATGTTTTTGATCTTAGCCATTTTCACAGGTGTAAGATGGTATCTCACAGTAGTTTTGATTTGCATTTCCCTGATGACTCTTTACAATAGCCACAAATATAAAATGCCTTGGGGTAAATGTGGTGATATATTGTGTACCCTAATAAAGTTTGCCTGAGGATCAGAGGACAGATCCAGCCACTAGATTCGACATAGAGGCCAGACAGTGGTGGCACATACCCTTAATCCTATCACAAGGGAGGCAGAGATCCCAAGAAGTGACAGCAGAGTGGAGAAAGTTATATAAGGCATGAGGAAATAAGAACTAAGGCTAGCTGAGACCCTTTTGAGTGAAGACTCAAAGGACTTCAGTCAGAGGGTGGTGGCTGTGACTTGTTCTGCTTCTCTGATCTTTCAGTTTTTACTTCAATATCTGGTGCTGTGTTTTTTATTAAAAGACCATCTAGATTTGAATAACAGGTAACTCTAACCAAACAAATGAAAGACCTGTATGACAACTTTAAGTCCTTGAAGAAAGCTACTGAAAAAGATATCAGAAGATGGAAAGATCTCTCATGCTCATGGATAGGTAGAACCAACATAATAAAAATGGCAATCTTACCAAAAAGCAATATACAGAGTCAATGCAATCCCCATCAAAATCCCAACACAATCCTTCACAGATCTGGAAAGAACAATATTCAACTTCATATGGAAAACCAGAAAACCTAGAATATCTAAAACAATCCTTTACAATAAAGCAACTTCTGGAGGCATCACAATCCCTGACCTCAAGCTCTACTAAAGAGCTATAGTAATAAAAATCAGCTTGGTATTGGCATAAAAACAGACATGTCGACCAATGAAATCAAATTGAAGATCCTGACATTAATCCACACACCTATGAACACCTGATTTTTGACAAAGAAGTCAAAACTGTACAATGGAAAAGAGAAAGCATCTTCAACAAATGGTGCTGGCATAACTGGATGTCAACTTGCAGAAGATTTCATATAGATCTATATCTATCACTATGCACAAAACTCAAATCCAAGTGGATCAAAGACTTCAACATAACCAAGCTACACTGAACCTGATAGAGGAGAAAGTAGGAAGTAGCCTAGAATGTATTGGCACAGGAGACTACTTCCTAAATATAACATCAGTGGCACAAACACTGAAACAGTTAATAAATGGGACCTCCTGAAACTGAGAAGCTTCTGTAAGGCAAAAGACACAGTAAATAAGACAAAATAACAACCTGCACAATGGAAAAAGATCTTCACCAACCCCACATCTGACAGAGAGCTGATCTCCAAAATATATAAAGAACTCAAGGAACTAGACAACAAGATACCAAACAACCCAATTCTAAAAAATGGCTAGAGATCAAAACAGAGAATTCTCAACAGAAGAATCCTAAATGGCTGAAAGACATTTAAGGAATTGCTCTACATCCTTATTCATCAGAGAACTTTGGACTTTGAAACAATGTTGAGACTGTGAAGACTTTTGAAGTTGGACTAAATGCATTTTGCATTATGATATTGTTACAAGCTTATGGGGGGAGAAGAATATGGTAGTTTGACTGTAATTAACCCCATAAGCTCAAAGGGAGTGGCACCAGTAGAGGTGTGGCCTTGTTTGGAGGAAGTGTGTCACTGTGGGGTTGGGTTTTGAAGTGTCCTTTGCTAAAGCTACACTTAGTGTGACACTCAGTTCACTTCCTATTGCCTTTGTATCAAGATATAGAACTCCCAGCTCCTTCTCCAGCACTGTGTCTGCCTGCACACCACTATGTCTCACCATGATGATAATGGACTAAACCTCTAAACTGTAAGCCTCCCCAATTAAATGTTTTCCTTTATAAGAATTTCCATGGTCATGGTGTCTCTTCACAGCTGTAGAAACCATAGGACATAATGATTTCATTTTTTTTTAAAGCTGAGTAATATTCCATTGTGTAAATGTACCACATTTTCTTTATCCATTCTGTTAAGGGACAAGGGGGCAACAGATAGAGCTTGCTAGGTAAGGTAAATAAAAAAGTTATGGATGATGGAGAGGGAACTGGACAGGAGAATCAACTATACATACATACATACATACGTATGTACGTATGTATGTATGTATGTATGTATGTATGTATGTATGTATGTATATGGAGATCTAAATGAAATCACCAAATAATGGGGGAGACAGATCCCCAAGTGGACATCTCTTGTCACCAAATATAGTTTAACAGGAATGAGATACATCTAATTGAGTTGTTGGCCAAATGGGTCCCATGGGAACCCCCAAACAACCCAAGCTATTGCCAAGACAATAGGTTGTTCTCCACGAACTGAAGGCAAGGTTCCATTGATGAAGACATCACTTCCACAATTCATTGAACATAGAGAATTAAAACTGGTTCCTACAGAGGGCCTTCACTCCTACTTGCTAGTGCCTTTGGTACAGGAAGGTCCTCTGCATGTCACCAAGGGAGAAATGTAAACATCAACCCAGCCACAAACCCTCTGATCTACAGTACTGTCCTGCTGGCAAGATGTGCTAGTACAATGGTGGCACAAAGCTTGTGGGAGTCACCAATCAATATCTGATTTGACTTAAAGCCCATTCCACGGGATGGAAACCATACCTCACAATGCTTAGGTGACCAAGAACCTGAGACTAGATAGCCCAGGGACCTAGGTTAAAACCAAATACTGCTGTATTTGTTTGAAATACTGTTCACCTTAAAGAACATAATAATAAAGTGACTACTAATGACATTCTTCTATACTCAGACCAGTGCCATGCTCAACCATCATGAGAGAAACTTCCTCCTGCATCAGATGGCAATAAATACAGAGACCCACGGCCAGACAATATGCAGACAGAGAGAGAGAGACCTTGGAACACTTAGCCCTAAATGGGATTTCTCCAGTCAAATCTCTCCCCTCAGGGCTCAGGAACCCTACAGAAGAGGAGGCAGAGAAAGTAAGAGCCAGAAAGGATGAAGGACACCAAGAAAACAAGGCCCTCTAATCAACAGGATTGATGTGCATATGAACTCACAGAGACTGAAGCAGCATGCACAGGGCCTGCATGGGTCTGCACCACATGGGTCCTCAAGCTGAAAAAGAAGTGGACACATGTTCCCATCCCTAACCCGGAAGCTATCTCCAAATGACAGTCACTTGAAAGTGAAAATTGAGTTTTCTCCAAGGGAATCTCACTGGGAAACCAACTACTGTTAAGGATAGGCTGCATGTCTAGCACTAGAGAACCAATGGAAAATGAACTCAACAGCCTCTTTGGAGGTTCCTTGTCTCATAATGATGTGTCGGGCTGTTTTTTTTTTTTCTTTTCCTTTTTTTTTTTTATTTTATCACACACACACACACACACTTTTAGAATCTCTTTTTACCCTACAGGTCCTTTGCTTGTAGTTTAGTGTTTTTATGGGATTCCTGAGTGTGCAAAAAAAAAAAAAAAAAAAAAAAAAAAAAGTGGGTATCTGTGTCTATATCTATTTCTTGTGCCTTTTCTTGGGATCTTTTTCTTCTGATTTTTGGAGGGGTTTAGGGGGAAGTCCTATTCTGATGTGATAGATTTTGTTTTATCTTATTTGATTGTTATCCCTTAGAAGCCTGTTTGTTATCTAATGAGAGACAATAAGAGAGGTTTGATCTGGATAAGAGCGGGGGTGGAGAGAAACTAGGAGAAGTAGAGGGAGGGGAACCATATCAAGATAGATTATGTAAGAAAAAAATCTATTTTCAACAAAACAGGGAGTAAAGGAAAAATGAAAAGAGCAACCCAACAAAGGCAGCAGCTCCAGCTGTGACCTCCTGGGGGACCAGCAGCTCTGCCCAAGGGGTTATCCAAGTAACCCTGGTGAAAAGCACCTGTCAGACCCTCCCAAGAAAACAAGCCCATAGTCCTCATGGCCTCAAATCTGCTTGGAGATTTCAATGGAACAGTGCCTCCTCTGAGTGACAGTTCAGTAGTAATGAAGAAGTCCATTATTCACTCTCACAGCTCACAACTCATCTTAACAGAGAGAAACTATTGTGAAGGCTGGAATACACTGGATTCCTAATAACAAAGAACAATCATGACTGAGGTGTCAGCCTGCCACAGCACAGTGGGAGGGAGCTCATGGAAGGAGCACTTGGAGGGAGCATTTGGAGGGAGCATATGGTGGGAGCACTTGGAGGGAGAATGGGGAGGGAGCATGTGGAGGGAGCATGTGATGGGAACACTTGGAGGGAGCATGGGGAGGGAGCATGTGGAGGGAGTACATGGAGGGAGCATTTGGAGGGAGCATGTGATGGGAACACTTGGAGGGAGCATGTGAAGGCAGCACTTGGAGAGAGCACTTGTAGGGAGTACTTGGAGGGAGCATGTGGAGGGACCACTTGGAGGCAGTACAGAAGAAAATGGGAGGACAATAGACAACCTGGGATAGACCAGGATTCTGGTATCAGATCTCAGGGATGATAGATGGCAGCCTGACCTTCACTGGCTAGGGACTGACCCCATTACCCAAAGTAAGTATAAGGTCTGGTAGCTCCAATCCTGAAGCCACTGGTTCCCAACTTCTAGAGCCATGAGAGTGACTGCTGGCATTCCTGAGAACTCTGAAACTACTTGAAAATGTTTGACTTGTACAACCTCTTCACTCCAGAATAGTACTTTCTAACATTAGACAGGGTGTTTTGGGTTTTGTTTGTTTGTTTGTTTTTGTTTTTAATTTATTTTACATCCCAGCTGCAGTTTCAATGGGTTTTTAATAGCATGGAGAGTAGGTATTACATACATATTTCAGAGTTCAGTTTGCTTCATCAACTTATAAACAAAATAAAAAATAAAAAATAAGCTGCCAGTCTAAGATAGTCTGTTATGGGAGTTTCATCAGACTAAAATAACTCAAGCATAATGGAGTCATCAAAGTAGAGACAACAAATACTAACTGAATTGAAACAGATTGAATTCTAACAGCGTGCTTATTGTGACAAATCCTAAAGGCAGGTGAGCCAGTCTACTGCCAATTTCGTTCATAGGAAATAGTAAAAATAGGGATTCTATCAGAGGTGGGAGGTTATGAATTCAGAATTGTGTTGTTTGATCCCATTTGTTCCAGGAAAAGAAGCTATGCTCAAGCGTGAAGAAAAAGGTCACCAGAAAGGAAAGCATCTCATCTTGGTTGCTCGCAAGCAGAAGCACTGCTGTCTATTATTTCTCACAAGTTTCTGCACCCGAGACTCCTTTTCCTATGAAGTGACCTCCAGCCACGAAAACGCTCTCTTGCCTTTGGTCAGAGCTCTGGTCTCAGTGGTGCTGTGCCCAAACAAGCATTTCCTCCTCTTGTGCTTGTGAGTTTTGAATATCCCATGAGGCAGTCCCAGCTGCTGTGTCTGCAGACACCATTACTGCTTTTGTTAATTCTCTGGTTACAGAATTACACTGGTTTTGAACAGTCTTCCCAACTTCTGTTTTCTCCTGAGACTTGTTATTTTTAGTACGTAATTTTTAAAAGAGATGTTTTCTAGGAACATAAATTTCATGTTCCATCAAAATCTTCTGCAGTTATAAATTAATCCCTCTATAGAACAAGTCAGAAGTGTCCATGTCATGATGATGCAGTCTGTGGTTTCTCTAACCCCACAGAGAGTAGAAGGAAGAAAGGAATTAGGAGTTAACCACTTAGATATATCATGGTGCAAATGACTTCTGCATCTTCTGTGGTGATTTTATTCTGTACCCTAATAAAATTGGCTTGAAGATCAGAGGACAGAACAAGCCACCAGATTAAGCATAGATGCCAGGCAGTGGTGGCACACACCTTTAATCCTAGCACTCAGGAGACAGAGATCTGTCTGGATCTCTGTGAGTTCAAAGCCACCCTGGACTACATGAGAGTGACTCAATCTAGGAGAGAAACAGAGCCAGGCAGCAGTGACACATACCTTTAATCCCAATACTTGGGAGTTACACACTTTTAATCCCAGCACTTGAGATCTCACACTTTTAATCCCAGTATTTGGAAAGTACACATGCCATTAATCCCAGTACTAGGAAGGAAGTGATGGATAGGCGGAGAAAGGTATATAAGGCGTGTGGAGACAGGAACAAAGGCTTTTCAGGCTGAGCAGTCCTAGAGATAAGACATGGCAGGGGCTTGTTCCTTTGTCTCTCTGATCTTTCAGAATTTACCTCAATATCTGGCCCTGGGTTTTTTTGTTGTTGTTTGTTTGTTTGTTTGTTTGTTTGTTTGTTTTATTAAAAAGACCTATTAGATTTCATGTTACAGTCTTCCTCGGTTGCCTTCATCTGGCTTTTTTTAAAATCTATTTCTAGAAAATATTAAATTCATTCACATCTTAGAGCCTATACAACTGTTTTATATTTTATCATCCAAATTTCAGCCCAAATACCATTCCTTCAGGGAAATGTTGCCTGGCAATTTTACTAAAACTTTTACTAAACTCCCCTGAACTAGTTATTTATGCCTTGCTGAGATCAAAATAAAATCATGTACATGCTGTAGCCAAAATACAAGATACAAATACAATATACAAGTAGAAAAATATAAGAAAGCAAGATTTATTTTAGTTTATAGTTTCAGAGGGCTTGGTCAGTGATTGCATGATTCCATGCACTTGAGCAGAACACCTCTGTAGTAGGGACATGTGTAAGGGGACAGTTGTTTATACTATAGAACCCAGAGTAACATACAGTGGCTGAGGGTGACATAACCCCCAATTGTTTCCCCCCCCAACAATATTACACCAGCTAGACCCTATCTCCAAAACTTCCTAGAATCTCCCAAAATAGTGCTACCATCTGTGGACTAAGCATTCAAATTATTATTCAGTGAAGGATACTTCAGATGCAAACCACAACATCTGCCAAAGTTACATTCTATCACCTTCCTCTTTTTCATTTCTTTCCTAACACTTGACCTTTTGGTAGTGACTTGCCCGCCCCATGGAGGCCTAACTTCCATCTTTGTGAATGAGGGGCAGGTGAGCTACAGACCAGGATGCTAAGGGTAGTGCTGTGGGATGTTCTGTTTGGCAAATATGTTAATAAATAAAACACTGATTGGCCAGTAGCCAGACAGGAAGTATAGGCAGGACTAACAGAGAGGAGAATTAAGGGAACAGGAAGGGAAGGAGGAGACTGCCTGAAGCCGCCGCCAGGACAAGGAAGATGTAAGGTACCAGTAAGCCACGAGCCACGTAGCAAAGTATAGATTAATAGAAATGAGGTAAATATAAGAGTAAAAGCTAGACAATGATAGGCCTGAGCTAATGGCCAAGCAGTTAAAATAATATAAGCGTCTGTATGTTTATTATATAAGTGGGCTAAGGGACTGCTGGAACTTGGTGGGACCCAGAGAGAAAATTCTCCAGCTACAGGTAGAGTGAAATATTGGGAGCAAAGATCTGCCACTACAGGACACCCTGACCACCTACGCAGTCACCTCTGATCTAACACTGCTTTCTCTAGCAGATTATTGTCACAATCCTCATAATTGCTTTTTAAAAATAGGAGAAACAATCAATCAACCACATTGCCAGATCTCAGTCCATCTCCTCTCCCATCTAGATCATCAGTTAAGTTTCTAGAGTTTAAAATAAGTTCTGGCATCTAAGAGGAACTATAAAAATTAATTCTTCAATGTATGACTCCATATGAAAAGAACTAGTTGACAAATGAGTAGTCTTTTTCTGCCCACTTAAAAGAAATGTCTACTATCTAAGACTCTCATCTTCCTTTATTGTTTTGTATATATTGCCTTTCAGTAATATTGGCACAAAAACCCACCGTGGTTTCCAGGTCTGTTTGTTCTCTCTGTCTTCCCACAGCCTTCTCCAGCTGTTTTTTATCATGTTAGCCTTAGTATTTTAGTTTTCAAGTATCACTTAAATATGATGATAGAGTTGGGTCTCTGGGAGCCTGAGAAGCTCAGTTTGATCACAGTATGTGTGAGTGGAAATGTTGACTTTGAAAGTAATAATAGAGTTTCCAACAACTACCTTCAGAGCTGATGTATGGCTGCCTGCTTTGACATCAAATAATTAAAAATAAATTTTTCACTATGATTATCACAAGGTTTTGTTGTTGCTAATGTTGTTGTTTATTTTGTTTTGTTTTGCCTTTTTCTTAATCCAAGATCTAATTTTCAAGAACGGTTCTTTAGGGAAGACAATTATCACTACACTGTGTCTGAAAAAACAAAACTATAGTTAGAATACACATTTGGATTATTTTACCAATATAAAATTACTGTTTAAGCTATAAAAATTCAAATCAGGCAAATAGGTATCTTGTAGCTGCCACCACAAAGGTAGGGAGAGGCACTGGTCATAGTTGGGTGTGGTTGCTGCTATTGATCATACATCCAACACCACTGAAAGATTTGAGTCAAGGATTATAATGCCCAATTTAAAACATGAATATTTCTATTTTACTAATATCCAAAAATCCAGGTACATGGCACATTGTTTGAAATCAACAGGGCTTTCCTACCCACCAACTCCCACAGCTATGAAGTTGTCAAATTTTAATTGGGCTATAAAGATATTGCCCTGATCATTGCCTCACACTCAGGAAGAGCCTTCCTTTCCTTCCTCAAGAAATATGTGAACAATACCTCTAAAGGAAAACTCTGATCTTAACATAGTTGTGAATAAAAACAAAACAAAAACCTAGAAAACTAAATGTTCTCACTAGGATAACAAATAGCTCACTACAGATGAAGTATTTTGCTATTAACTGGTACCATGGGAACTAGGCAGCTTAGCTGTCAAGAAATTTCCCATGGGGTTGCTAGGCACAAATCAGTCCAGTGCTAATGAATCTCATCCTATTTACCTCACTTCTAAAACTATCACATAAATTGGCTCAATTCTGCATGGAGGATAAATGCAGTTAACAAGCTAAAGAGTAAAGCCAAAAAAGAGAACTTGTGGCTTCCACACACTGGCAGGCAGACCCACATAGAGAAGTATTTACCAGATTAGCTGAATAAATATGAGCTAATACATGGTTGTTACTATTCTATTAGTATTCTTATTTGATGATGGTAATAGGTAACAATTACAGAGCCGCCAGGATTTGTTCTGCTCAGCGTAGGTGCTATGTTGAGTTCATTAGACTCCAGCACTTTAATGAGTCAGAGCACACACTAAACTACACTTTGGAGAAGTTGGTGTTTAGAGCAATTAACTAACTCCTCAGGAACCTCAAAACTAGAAAACAGCAGACCCTAGAATCCCTGTTCCAACTCAAGTCTATCATCTTAAATATCACATATTTGTAAGATTGCATGGTTAAAAAAAATTCCAACAGAGCTGAAAAGAGTCTTCTTCTAGCAGTGCTGGAGCATGTATGCTCTGCTTCTCAGTGAGTCAAACTCTGCACCAGCCTCGGAAACAAGTGATCTAAAAATCTTAAATTACTTAAATGTTACTTTTTACATAAATTAAGTTGTATGTGTTTCCATGCTCTCAGAAGCATGGAGTTTCAATGATGTCTGTGGCCCTTGCTTGTTCCCAAACTCTTCCTGTTGTTCATTGCAATGAATTTATGGGGACATGATTTGTTACAGCAGTGGAATACCCAGATTAACATTCCTCCAATCTCAGAAACAAACCATAAATTAAGGTATGTTTCTGGGAAAAATATTAAAAGGTATTATAAAGAATAGTTGCCTACCATTCAGGTTGCACAAGAACAAGACGCAACAGCTGATGATCCTCCAAAGGCACCAATAGCCCTACCTTTAAAATGGTTGACGGACAAATCTGTATGGGTTGAGCAATGGCCTTTAACATCAGAGAAACTGCAGGCCTTTGAACAGCTGGTACAGGAGCAGTTAAATGCTCAGCATATTGAAGAATCAACCAGCCCATGGAATTCTCCTGTATTTGTTATTAAATCTGGTAAATGGAGAATAGTAATAGATCAAAGAGCTGTTAATAAGGTGATTCAGCCAATGGGCTCTCTACAGTCTGGAATTCTGTTGCCTTCTCTATTACCTAAAGAATGGCCTCTTGTAGTTATTGATTTAAAAGAAAGTTTTCTGCAATGAACCATGACCACACCTAACAGCAACCTTCAAAGTCTCCAAAAGAATGATGGGGCCCCACAATGATGATTCCATATGGAGTATGATAACACAACTAATCTGACAAACACCACCTAAAGATCAGCTTTGGACTACAAACTGCTCTGGACAATCTCAAGGTGGCTAGCTGAGATGATCTAGCCGCACAGACTACTCTAGCCAGGACTTGAGATACGCCCTTCACTTTCCATTATGCAGAGACTGAATAACAAATGATACAGCTACCTCTCCCAGGACTTGACAACTAACTCAAAATTTTCTTTTCAGGATCTCCTAAAGATGCAGACACCCCAAACAGCAGGAAGTAAATTTAAGAACATGATGCCCACATTCCAAAGAGGTGGGGTGGGTGGCTTTTGGTTTTTCAATGGGTTATGGATATTTGTCATCCTTTAGAGTGGTTGGTTACAAGTTGTTATTGGTAATGGTTGAGGGGAAAATGTTGAACACAGGAGTTTAGATTCAGGGTCCTTGTTTTGAAAAGAAAAAAGGGGATACAGCTATTATAGGATATAAGGGTATATTGTAGATTATTGGTATATTGTATATGTAGATATAAAGACATAAGTAGATTACTGAATCTACTCTGTAAAGAAAAAAGGGGGTATAGAAATAGGATAAGAAGGTAGATTATTGAATCTACTTTTAAACCAAAAATGCAACTACTAGTTTTAAATATTTTACATTGATATGTATTTTTGTATATTGATACAAAGTTGAGATTAATTTTGTTAGAACATACTGAGTATATATTTCTAATATTGTTCAAGGTATTGTACCTATACATCTCACTTAACAATGTAATGCAAATTGCTTGTCCTTGAAAGTTATTATTACAAACTAGGATAATAAGGAAATGAAGGTTAGTCACCTATTATAATCACCTATTACAAACATATTAGATATGTTATCAAGGTCAAATAGAGCTATATTTTAGATAGACCGGTCATCTTCAAACACTTGAGAGATCTACAGAATATGGCATTTAAGATGTTTTAATAACATAGGTTCTATTTTTATGACAATGAAACATGTCTGTTCCTAACAGCACCAATCTACTTCAGAGAAGATGATGGGCATCGAAGAAACTCTATATGGAGTTCACTTTCTTTGTGGCAAAAGTTAGCCATAGAGCAAGAAAATGCTCTTGCCTGGACTAACAGTATGCTGTCCAAATTGGACAAGCAGGACACAAAAGAAAGGACTGCCGAACTTTGCCAAGAAAAGGAAGGACTGCCCTTCAGAAAGATCCTGATTCACAGAAAAGTCTGACAGATATGCTAGGCCTGTAGGCCAAAGGTAGACACCCCAACATTACAAAGGAACCTTGGGTGACTGTCCAGGCAGCCAACTCTTTCTATCATTTCTCACATTTTTTGTAAGTCGCTTGTTTGCTCTTCCTGCTTACTCAGGTAATATTATTTGTAGGTGAATTTCTAAATGGTCTTATTAAATAAAAAACACAGAGCCAGGTATAGGAGTGAAAGTCTTAGAGAGATCAGGGAAATAGGGAAAGCTACCAGCCAATCTTACCTCACCAACTCTGCAGCTTCCAAATGTTGTGACATCTGATTTGCTCTTTCCACTCAACTACATCACTTCTTCTTTCTGCCCAGCTCTGACACTTCCTGTCTGTCTGTACAGACCTCCATGGTTAACTAGTATTGGAATTTAAGGTGTGTGCCACCACACCTGGCTCTGTTTCCAGTATGGCCTTGAACACATAGAGATCCTGCCTGCCAAGTGATAGGATTAAGGGCATGTGCTACCGTTGCCGACTTCTTTGTTTACTTAAAATGGCTTGCTATTTCCTCTGATCTCCAGGCAAGCTTTATTTATTAAAGCACAAATAAATATATCACCATATTTCAGCACAAATGAACTATCATGACAATTATTTCCTTCGCTGGTCTCTGATGGAGTTGAAGACTTTGTAGTTATAGTTATAGTTTTCCTTGTTACCAGATTCAGAAAAGAAATTCACTAAAGAGGTGTAAAGTGTATAAAGTTGAGAGACATTAAAAGATAGTTTTGGTAATGCAAGTTGAAATAGAAAGTGAATTAGGTACAACCTTTTGGACTCACCAAAATAGGATAAATAATTGAGTATTTTCTCTGAATTTGTCAGTTGTTAATGAGCTAGACATTGTTAATGTAATTATTTCTTATATATATTGTATAGTTATTGTACTTATTGTATATAGTTTCTCTTAGTTATAACTTTTTTATTTTAGACCAAAAAAAGGGAAATGTGGTATTTTGTTTATACTTTAACAAATAAATCTTGCCTGAATATCAGAGTGTAGAGCTAGCACTAGAAGCTGGGCAGTGGTGGCACACATCTTTAATCCCAGCACCTGGGAGAAGGAAACAGCAAGTGATATGACTGGGCAGGGAGAGGAAGTGATAAGGCAGGGTGGAGACAGAAGCTTGGCCTTTTCAGTCTGATGTAAAAAGTCTTTCTAGTGGCTAGATGTTCTGCTTCTCTGATCTTTCAGCTTTCACCCTGATATCTGGCTCTGGGTTTTTATTATTAAGACCAATTAGAATTCGAGCTACATAAGTATGTTTTGCTATTTAAAAAATAAAAAATAAAAATCCAATTTCTTCCACCAAGTCAGAAACAGAGAGCTAGCTCATGCAAGCTTTAAAATCTTTTAAAATAATAACAGACCATCATTGTCCAAACTGGGTCCTACCCTAAACATCTTCTAAAAACACAGGTATTTTGATTCTCTTATGTTTGATAAGGTATTCATATCTCCTTGTGACTTTCCAAAGTCCATGAGTCAAACTATAAGAAGGCAAAACCTGGCCATTAACAGAGCCTGTATAAGAACCTTAAAAAAATTAGATATGCCCATGGGTCCCAAGAGAGTGAACCAAGGGTCATAGTTGTGGCCAAGGTCAAAGACCTCTGACTACTGACTTATGGATCTAAAACTATTAGAAAGATTGTTTACAGAATGTTATCAAAGCCTCTGTAGCACTGTGAACACTGTGAACCAGATGTATCTTTAATAACTACTTTAAGTCCAATAAATATTCAATTGTCACAGTTGTTATTTCTTATTTGAAAATCAATTACTCAGAGTAATACAGGTTTCTCACTTGGTCTCATTTACCTCAAAACATGGAGAGTTCACAAAGTCATGATCAAGGAGACATGCCTTTTTTCTTCTCTGTAGATGAGAAGATTTAAAAAAAAGTGTCATACATTTTTTATAGTCCAAAATGTCCAGTTAGTACTACCCATATGTACATGGGTGTGGGGCCATCTATTGGAACATGGAAAACTTACCAGTGGCCACATCCTCCATAAAGAACGATTCTTCCTTCCTCAGAAACTCTCCACTACCAATAGATCCTCAGAAAGGGATACCCAACTGCAATTTTCATATAATGACTCATCACTTCTAGAGCAACATTTCTGGAGATGGCCTTTTTAAAATAATCATTGTAGGGGTGGTTGGTTGTCTGTGCTTTACCCTGAAACACCACCCCTATGGCAGCAGGTAACTGCCAGGTACCTGCCCCCGCCCCGGGGCGTGGCCCAGACAGGGTAATCCTTAAGACCTAGGAGGACTATGTTCTTACTCTCTTTGTTTCCTCATGGCTTTGGATGCTGGTGCTTCGGATCAAGGCAGAGCTCTACTGAGAACCACGCTGGACTGCATCCCACCCTTCCTGAATTCTACTACCAACTCAATTATTCTTGTTGTGGGTCAGACCCTGAATAAACTCCTTTGACCTTTGCACTGGCCATCAGGGTCTTCAACAGGGACCTAAAGGGAGGGCCGGCAAATGAGAGGGACAAAAGACACAAAGAATGAGAGCAAGACAGGACGTCTGATCAAGCTCCAAAATTTTATTTTTCTCTCAAGGCATATATAGGTAGGCAAATGGGGGGGGGGTTGCAAGCAGGAAGGGACTTAATTATGGGGTTTCAAGCAGGAAGGGACTTTAACAATGGGGGTTGCAAGCAGGAAGGGACTTAATTATGGGCTGTTCGGCTAGCAGGGAATGTTGTTATCTATCTACTCTTGTCTAATTGCCTAATTGCTTAACTGCAGCTCATTCACCTGATATCTGAGAAGAGGTTCTGATATTTGTGAGAAGAGGTCCTGGTGCTATGGAGACTTAAGCAAGGCCTAGATCTAAGAAAAGAGGAGAGAAGCCCAAATATAGCAGCATGTGTGTCAAGGGTCACTTAGGCTTATGGCTCCTGTCAGACCTTCAAACAGATTCCTTGGAATTTCCCCATTAAAACATGATGACAATGTGGAAAAAAATCTGAGGAAAGAAACCCAACATCAACCACTGGCCTCCATGTGCACATGGCACACACACACACACACACACACACACACACACACACACACACACACACACACACACACACACGCAAACATATACATACACAAAGTAGAACCATGTAGACCTGGTGTATATTTTTGTGTGTCGGTTTTCTTTTACTCAGCACTGTTTTTAAGATTCACCCCTGTTCACTCCTTTTTCTAGATCTGCATCTAATAGTCTCATACAAAGCATTTCTGCTGAGGAATAAATTGGAAGGGAATGGATGAGCTACCACATAGGAATGTACTCAGTGACAGAGAATCCTGTCAAACACTTCCCCTGTGTGTCTACACCAATTGGAATCTTACCAGCAGCATATGAGTTCCATTGCATCGTACATTTGACCACCTTATTGATTTTATGATGGCTTGAAACAAAGGCCTTTCTCAAATCTGCCAGTGACCTGTATGCAAATCGCTAGACATTCCTCAGGTCCAATTACCATCTCTGTTTCCCAGAATTAAAAACAAGGAGAAATGTTCAGACAGTAATGCTGAACATCAATGAGATTCAAAGAATTCTTTTTTTTTAATCAAATATTAACATTTTTTTTGTAACAACAAATGTTCACTGGAGAAAAAAAAATCAAGACTTCTGTTGGCTGTGCATACGCAAGCTTTGCAGTGGATTCTCTAAACAAAAGTCTGTGTGTTTGAATAGGCTGGCTGCCAGCGGCTTTCAGCAGGAATTAAGCAATTAGATGAGTCTATTTTTTCCTTGCAACAAATTTGCCTTTAGCCAACACAGTAGGGAGTGAGACGAGCGCTCCTCCTCCACAAAGCGCAGTCCCTCTTTCCCTCATCCGTCTTCATTAGCTGTCACAGAGAATAAGAAAGTTCCACTTTCAGCAATTTATTCTTGAACCAATTTGATTATGAAGCTTATGTATGAAAAGCCCATTAGTCACAAATATGAAATGCACACGGTTGGGAGAAAGAAGATTTTGTGTAGGGGGTAGATAAATAAAATATCCCTCGAAATTAACATAGAAACATCCATATAGTTCTCGCACTCATTTCAGACAAACCACACAATGCCTTTCGCCAACCTCTGTACCCAAATACTTTATTTCTCTTGACATGTCATCTATATGACAATCTGTGTATTATTTTCCTTATGAACATATTTCACCCAGGGCCAAGGGCAGCTCATAACAAAATGCTCTTTCATGGGCAGGGCTTTTTTTGCATAAAAAATTGTGTCCAACCCCATTCTCTTAGATGATAAGATGGCTGCTCAGGGATCTGACGCTTCTCTATCTAGTGTTAGTCTCAAAGAAAGTCTTTGTTTCTGAAAGGACAAACACAACCTCATCAAGTTTGCAAAACACTCTCTTGGACATAGGAATTTCGTCCCCTGAGCCTCGTGAAAGCATCTACTATTAAAAAAAAAAACCAACCACATTTTCAGGAAAGAATATGAAGTTGAGTGGGCAGGGAGAGAGGTATCTAGAAGCTGAGGGAGTAGAAAGACTATGACCAAAGTACAATGTGTGAAATATATTTTAAATATATAAAGATAAACAGATGATAGTAGATAGATAGATAGATAGATAGATAGATAGATAGATAGATAGATAGATAGATAGATAGATAGATTTAAAAAAAGAATATACTCTTGGGAATTGGTTTTGTTCCATCCAAAGCCTGAAGAAACCAATGACTTGTTTTGCTCATCATATTAGAGCACTAAATTTCCATCTTTTAATGTCAGGGTGTTTTCACAGGCCGCTCTGCTCTGTAATCTGGAGTTTGGGATCTGTTTTCACATGATGCTATCCAATTTCCCCACTTTTCACAGTATCTCTCCAGCTCTTATTTAAATATGCTAGTGAAAAAATCACCTTTTAGACAAAGTAATTTTCTGGCTTCATCCCCCTCTTGATCCCATCCTACAATACCTCCTCACAGCCCTCTTTCTCAAAAAGTTACTGGATTGTGTTTCTCACATTCTAGTCACCTTTCAGAGTTTCTATCCAATATTATATAAATAAAAGTCCCTAAATGTTTAAGTCAATTTCTACTATTTACTATTTTCCTTCTAGAAACAGATTACTGAGCCCAGCGGGGGATGTAGCTCAGTAGTAGTATGCCTGCTTAGCAGGCTCAAGACCCTGGATTCAATCCTCAATGCTGTAAGCAAGGCGGAGGGGAGGAGAGCAGAAGCTGGTTACTTCCCTCCACTCCTCCACAGATCACTTGTTTAATTCAACAGAAAATACCATTACTTAGTTTTCCAAATAGCCACACCTTGAGCATAAGGCTCACTGGACAAGAGGGAATTCATGCCTGATACCATGACTCCAGTCAATTACCCATGCCTAGAGAGGTCACAGGCCCCAACAGAGAATCTGATACTGCCATTTCCTAAAGCAATATGATTTCTATTTTCTAAAGATGCATCCTTTTACCTACAGATAAATGTAGCTATCACATCTCATCAAAGACACTTATTTTTGCAATAGGTAGAGACTATTACAGAGATCCACAACTCATCAAAATACAGGGAATAAATGACTGTGGGGTGTCCAATTACAACTGATAAATATGCAGTGCAACCCTTACAACTGAGGCTCAGGGAAATCCATGGGAGATGAAGCAGAAAGAAGACCAGGGTCTCACACTGCTGTTAAATAGTATCCCCTGTATATGACAAGGAGAATGCACTCATGAACACTCAACAATTATAGTTGCATGAACAAGAAATATAATGAAAAACCAGTTGATACTCTGATGTAGACAGAGGAATTCTACATGGTCCCACCCTAGATAAAGAGCTACAGTAAGTCAAAGTGTGCTGTGAGAAAAAGAATCAGTTGCTTCCAGCGGCAGGCTTCCACACAGGTTCTCCAAATCCAATTGGTCAGCCTGGACATATGTACATGTGAGCTAACCTAAATGGACTCAGTAGGTCCTCTCTCTCTCTCTCTCTCTCTCTCTCGCTCTCGCTCTCGCTCTCGCTCTCGCTCTCGCTCTCGCTCTCGCTCTCTCTCGCTCTCGCTCTCTCTCACTCGCTCTCTCTCTCTCCTCTCTCTCACTCTCTCTCACTCTCTCACTCTCCCTCCCTCCCCCATCTCTCTGTGTATACATATGTATATACATGTAATAATAATTAAAGAAAAGATCATGACTATTTAATGGGTTCAGGAAGAGCTGGAGTCTAAAGCCAGGCAGTGGTAGAACATGCCTTTAATACAAGCACTTTAGAGGCAGACAGGAGAATCTCTGTGAGAGGCCAGCCTAATCTACAAAAGAGTTCCAGGACAGCCAGGTTTCAACCACCCCCCAACAAATGGCAAAGTCTATACCTTATGAAAGACATTATAAACTATGTATAAAGATGAGAAAGTTTATGTGGATAAAAAGGAGCTTGCGATCTAATAGGCAACAAGATAAAGTTACAATCAGCAGAAAACATCATTAATTTCATTTATATTATGGGAAGGTTTGGTTTGCAATAGAAAATGGTTATAGTGTTAACAAATGAATATGTTGGCAGGGGTGATAAAAGCAGAAACCATCTGTGAAAGCTAAAAGAAGAAAATGTAAGTAAAAACACACATAGGAAGGAGTGTGAGGAATATGAGTAACACATGCTGTCTAGAGCATGGGGGATGGCAATGGGTGTAGACAGACTGGAAAAATGGCAGGTCCCAATCATGGTTGGGACCTAATTCCAAGGGAAGCACTGTACACAGGTTGAACAGGGAGCCATGTGTATCTTGAGCAAGGGTGACAGAATTAGAGTTTCAGGACATTTTCTCTCAGTGGATGCAGACTAGATTAGGACACAGGAAGTAGAAAAATCACCACGCTTTATCAAATCCAGTGTAAAACTCAATGGAAGAAGCACCACTGATTGATTTACTACTGAAAAAGGAAACAGAGATGTCAAGGATGGAGATTGTTCTAGATGGAAAAAAATCGAGCAACACGGCCTCCACCCTTGAGAAGTTTCTCCGGTCATAACAAAAGCAGAGTGTGTGATACAGATGTAAACTAACATGTGGTAGTGGGAATATAGAGTGTAAAAACAAGCAGAATCACAATGGTGAAGCCATTCTTACAGCAATTTGTGGTTCAGTGTCAGAGCCAAACACCTCAGGCATCAATTTAAGGGAAGTAACAAAAACTCTGGGCACAATAGAAGAGAATTTCTACAATGTTGCAAATTATCAGATTGGTTCCCTCTGAAAGAGAAGGAAATGTTCAAGAGACTGATCCACAGAGACTGGTACAGAACACCACATACCCACATGTTCAACACATCTACATATCCACATGCCCACTTATCCAACACACCCACACACTCACAAACCCAAATTCTCACACTCCCATACATTCCACACTCCCACACACCTACATACCCTCCACACACTTTCACACACCTTACACACACACATACACACACACAAACTCATACTACCACACACACACACACACACCTCACAAACACATACCCTACACTCCCACACACCCCACATACCTACACACACATTCACATGCCCACATTCCCACACATCACACACACACACACACACACACACACACACACACACACACAGAAGTGGGGGTCAGGAGCAGATGCTTACTTGAGAAAAAAAAATACATGTGTGTTGTTTTGTACAGATTGCAGTTTAACTTTCCAGTGGGACACATAGATAAAATTTTACAGCAGGAAAATGGAAATGCAGACTGAGCACTTAGGGTCATATTATTTAAAAACAAACAAAACAAGTCTTGCATGCTGCATGTTGATATTGTTATTGGACACAAGAAATAGGAAAGCTGGATAGGAACATGGGCCCTTACTTGACTACTCAAAGAAACATCAGACATGATAAAATCTGGTGCTGGAAAGAAAAAAACACTCAAGCTTCACAGTCTATTTGATATTTTTAAGTGATCATATATCATATTAATATATAAGGAAGGAAGATGACAACTTTCAGGTTCGCTAGATAGACATTCCCACATTTTATTTAAAAAGGAAACAAAGCTTTGGCATTATAAACACAAGAAGAGATGTGATTGTCATGAAGATCATAAAGATAGATAATACACTTATATATTGGTACAATATAAAATGCAAAATGGGTGGTAAAAGATTCAGCCTGGAAACTTCCTTAGAAAACGGACATTAAGAACTCATTTAGGGGCTGGAGAGTTGGCTCAGCAGTTAAAAGAACTTGCTGTTTTTCCAGAAGACCTGAATTCAGTTCCCAGTATCCATATTTGGTTGCTCACAACCACCTGTAACCCTAACTTGGAGGGATCTGATGCTCTCTTTTGGCCTTGTAGGACACATGCACACATGTGACATACACTCACAAAGACATAAAAACATACATTCACACACATAAATAAAAGTCATTCTAAAAGCAGAATTTATTTAGTAAGTAAATAAGGAAATATTTGCCTAATAGTATTCTATAAATACAATATAAATGAGAGGTTGAAAGAGGAAGACAGACCAGGCAGTGCTTGTCACACACCTTTAATCCCAGCACTCAAGAGGCAGAGGCAGGCTGATCTCTGTGAGTTGGAGGCTAGCCTGGTCTACACAGTTAGTTCTATTACAGCCAGAGCTACACAGAGAAACTGTGTCTCAAAAAAATAAAAACAAAAACAAAAGAATATATATGAAAGAGGAAGACAGAAACAAGTCACTGTGTACCAGGCATGACATTAACGAGCATATGTGAATGTATATATGTATGTATGTATAAATGCATGTATACATATATGAACAGAGAGAGAAGAGAAAAGTGAGAGTTTTATAGAAATAAATTTATCTTCCTAAGTCTTAAAGAAATATAGAAAATTTTATTTGGGGGATACATAAACTTAGCCTCAGAGAGGTTGAAATTTAAGATCTCATGGATAATTTAGGAGATGAGCCAAGCTCTAAGCTAGTTCTGAACTCAGATGGACAGACAGTGCCTCACGTGATCACACAGGGAAGTGCACTCATACTAACACACATGCAGGCACACACCTGCACGTGCACATAAGAGGAACAGACTAGAGAAAGACAACGCCTCAGAAGTCCCATAGACAGAAAAGTCAGGCTGGCTAGATGACGGGAAGGATGAATCCTGTTCTATTCTGTCTGGTGGTTCATCTCTCATGTTGTTTATATCATCAGGAAGACAAAGGAAGGGCGTGCACAGTGCTGGGCTGGGTGAAAGCTTGAGAATCTCAGCCCTGTCCTGCTTTCATGGTCTCTACACAGGGAGGCTGTGAGGCTCTAGCGCTGCAGCCTCTTCCTACAGCCAGCCCCGCCCTCTAAACTCCAGAGAGGATCCGCAGATCCAGTCTCCAGAACACACAGTCCTGGTAACATTGAAAGGGAAGAACTTGCTGTGTTCCGTTAAGACTGTTGTCTCCTCTCTGATTTGCTTGTCACTACAGATCTCTTCACACAGGGTAGGCCTGGAGACTGTGTCTGTGGGATTCAGCTATGGGAAGTTGAATCAATGATCTGTCTAGATCAGTGGTTTAAATTCATCAGGTCCATGTCTGGGACTCATGTCAGTGTGCCAAGTTTGGTAAAAGCAGCATCAGAGATTCATACTGCTCCCTGTGCTGGTTCACTTAGCAATGCCACAATGTTGGGACCATAGCTAAAGTATCACTATGGATGTTCCCTTAGATATCTGTACTGAAGACTAAGATAGTAAGAAAGCATAGTTTTCTAATGTATAGCACCAAAAACTGGCCTGCAGAAGATTCTTCCTAATATCAGATGTGTGAAGCTGTAACAAGCTTGGCTGTCATTCCTATTGTCTTGGAAATATGTTCCATAAAATACTACCTATAGTCATAACTATAATACATATAGGTTTAGACTTTTATTACAGACATGCAAATGCTTGGTGGGAACCTTATAAAAATAATCATTCTGTTTAAAGGATTCAAGCCTATAGCAGGCTAAAACCAACAGTAACTTATGTTTGGATCAGATGTTACATATTACAGTAAAAAAATAAAATAAAAAGTCAAGTTTCCATTGACCATACTTCCTAGGAAAAGCAACTGTCCATCTATCTCCCTATGCAAAGTGATATTATAAACTTTTAACAAGTAAAGAAGCAATGGAAAAGTGGTCATAAAAGTAAGTAGAAAAATAGAGCAGTATGTTGAGAAGTTAAAGAAAATATTGTTACTTTTGTGGGCAAGAAAAAAAATAAATTTTGAAGGGCCTGAGAGTTTACCTCATCTGCAAGTTAACCTGCTACAGTTTCACAATTGCTGGCGAAAGACACAGGCCCCTAGACTTTATTGCTCATCACACAGCAGCTACCAAAGTCATTCTCATGTGTCAGTTCAGGGGAACCAGCTCCCTCAAGAGGATGCGAACTGGGCAGGTTAACACTTGAGCAGAGGGGAAGAGGGCAGAGGAACCCTGAGAACCTAGCCTCTTCAGATGGACAGTGAGTCATCAGGTCAGTACAATGCCTCCCTTTGCTCTGGAGGGAGAGACCAACTGCGTTGTCCCCAGCCATAAGTGAGTCTGTGCCCTGGGTGGAGAGACACAAATATCTTCTATAGCGCTTTGCTATGCAAACATGCTGGAAAAGCAAGTCCAAATCCGAGTGAGGACTATGATCTTTAGATCTGAGAAATACAGCAAAGCCTTGGAAATGTATCTCCTCGAACAGAAAGGAAATGGGACCGGGGGGTGGGGGGGGGGACGACAAGAAGTTCTGTTAATGCAAAGAGATCAAATGATGGCTGCCACATTGCATACAAGCTTAACCTTGCCCAAGTCATAGTTCCTCTTCTCCGTTGTTTTTTCTCTAGGCCAGGAATGTGGGATGACTCATCCCTAACAGGCTTGAGGGCCAGATGGCTCAAACAAGTAAAAAAGATACTTTCTGAGAGCCAGCCTGGGTCTGCCTAAAGGTCTTAGCAACAGCAGCTGAAACATGATCTGGAGATGACCTGGACCAATGAGAGGCAGCATGTCACACCAGCTGATGCATATTCATCTGACCTCCCCCCAGGGTGGGGAGGAGGGTATATAAGCCTTGCTTCTTCCTGAAAAAACTGAGCTTGTTTAGACATTCTCCAGAGTCTGTGTGGTTTGACTCTGCGCCTACTTGGCCCGCACCCCCAAAGGGATCAACAGCAAGGACCCTGCTACACAGGAAGTCAGGGGTTCTGGCTTCTTCAACTTCCTACAGCTTCCTTAGTTCCTACGTTCACCCTTACCTGTAAGCTTTGGGTTCTTTCAGGCCTCCTGTTTATTTACTCTGTGTTTATAGTTGTAGAGCATGCAGCTTCTGACTACGGGAAAAGTAATTCGCTGCTCCCAGAATCCTGGCAGTCACGGGACTCCTTCTGCTGTCTGTTCATTTGTATATTAAATAACCCCCAACTGTGTTCTTTGGCTCTGGGAAGACTCATTTCATGGAAATCCAGACCTCACATGAGATTCTGTTTCTCTGAGAATTATGATAAAGGACTGGGGCTGAGTTATATGTGTTTCTTCATGCACTGAAAGACTTGAAAAAAACTTACGGGATAGAATTGATGAGATTCACAAAGAGAAAGCTTTATTATAAATTTGAAAAATCATATATTTAAAGCCTCCTAGCAGCTTTGATCACACAAGTCATTAAAAGTTATTCACAGCAACTAAACTTACTTTTAGTAGTTGTTCTTAAACAAGATCATAGCTTTGCAGGCCACAGCAGCACAACACCAGATAATCCCCAAAGTAAGAGTCGAGTCTCAAATCCATATTTAATGTGCCTCGTGAAAATGTTTGGCTCTTCATGATCTTCTGCTCCAAAGAACAAAATGGGCCTCATGTCTAAAATAATAACAGTGAGTTTGTATGTTTGTGCCTCCTTAGTTTTATTGATACATAATTGACAAATAAGAGTTACAGGTATAATGTTAAGGTATATGATGAATGTTTTAATATAATCACACATTGAAAGATAATTCCCACGATCAAGCTAATTGACATATTCATCACCTCACAGAATTGCAGCCTTTTGTGCATGCTATGAGAAAAATTTGAGATCTATTCTCAGCAATTTTAAATTATTCAATACAGTATTCTTAACTATAGAAGAACAACCACACTTACTTCTCATCTAAAAAGACACTGTCAACTCCTATTATCTTCTTTGCCCTTCGGAGAGAAGCTAAGAATGAAAATTAAGCTTCTCTCCCCATTAGGTAAGGGCAATCTCCTTCTAATGCCAGACAATACTAATGGCTCCTGTTTCTACTGCACTAACTAGGTGCTGGACAATGCTCTAAGCACTTTGTATACATTCACCCCATCCTACAACAATCCCTGAAGCTATATCCAATTAGTTTCCCATTTTAAAACTCTATAAAGGGCCTTGGAGAGATGGTTCAATGGTTAAGAGAATGTATTGCTCTTCCAGAGGACACACGTTCAGCTCCCAGAAGACAGGTCAGGCATTTCACAATTGCCTGTAACTCCAGCTCTAGATTAGACACACTCTCTCACCTTTAGAAGAGCCTGCTCACAGGTGACATGCATACAAACAAATAAAAATAAACATTTTTAAAAAATAAATAAAGATATATAAACCGAAGCAGAGAGGTAAACCAATGTGCCTGAGACCCCACAGCTAGAACTGAACTTAGGGTTTGAATTCAGTCCGGTCCTAATCTGTCTATGCTTTGCAAGGACAATACTAAGAGTGGCATTTGTTGAATACTTACAATATTCTAATCACTGGGATAATGGCTTGCTGTACTTTGTTTAACTGAAACCTGAAAACAACCCTATAACAGACTAAACAACTAAGCCATCAAGAAGAGGTTGGCATGCTCCATAGTCCTCATAAGTGGTAGAAGTCATGTGGCTATCGTGACAAAGGGGAAGTTGCTCCTCATCACTAAGGTAATATGTGCGAAGGTGAGTGTGGGCTTTCCAGGAAATGAGGAAAGCCGTCATCCTTCTGTCCAGCACTGCCTGAGACCATTCCCACTTGAAACAAAACTCTTTCTCTTGCCTCCATTTTCTCATTCACGGGTCCTTAGGCAGCTTAACCAAGTAGCAGAGTGAGGACATGATATGTTCTTCCTCTGTGACTCGGGAATGATGTCCAATCCAAAAGTCAAACAGCAAGGCTCTGTGAAAGAGCAAGGTGGGTGGAAGAAGGAAAAGGAAGGAGAAGAAGGAGGGAGAGAAAGAAGAGGAGGTGGTGGTGGTAGTGGACCTTTCTGGTCTGTAGAAAAGCAATGGAGAACTGAAGAAATAGGGGCTGATTCTTCTACCCTTTCCCCAAAGCCATCAGGGCTGATAGAGCAATGAATGGGTCACAGCTCTGACAGTTTTAACACTCGTCCCACACTATCCTTGGGTTAACCATCATCTAAGCAGTGGTTCTTAACCTTCCTGCTGCTGCAACCCTTTAGTACAGTTCCTCTAAACAGTAGCAAACTATAATTTGCTACTGTTTAGAGTCATAATGTAAATATTGATGTTTCCCGATGCTCATAGACCACACCTGTGAAAGGGGTTGCAACCCACAGGTTGAGACCCACTGACCTGGAGGCTCAAGGGACCTGTTCCACAGATGCATGTATCCCTGACCCAAACTGATCCTCTTAGCCATTTCTCTCTGAAGGGAGAGAGCTCTGAATTAGAAAGCTGTAATGGATTCATCTCCACTCAGCCCAAATGTATGTGCTTACACATACACATATGCAACATACTCCCCCACTACTGAGACAGATCCATATATCTTTCCTGTCTTTTGAGGAAAGTCCATATGACCTGTGCCTGGAGGAGGACACATGCATATTCTCAGTTCATGGAAGTGTGTGTGTGTGTGTGTGTGTGTGTGTGTGTGTGTGTGTGTATCCTGGAGGAAATGAAACCAGTGTTAGTGGGTCATGATGCTTAGTTTCATTGAGTCTTTTGAATTCCATTACTACTTCTAAGTATCTTCTGCCAGGCAAGGGTCTGGATTCTCTGCCTAAAAGTATAGTAAGTGTTCCCACTTCTGTGTTCCCATCCCCCAAGCCTTTGGCTCAGCCTGTCTTCTCCATTCCCTTCTTCCACAAATCATCCCATCCTCTATGGTCCCAGTCTCTTTTGAAATGGCCTACAGCTTCTTGATTCCTGTCTAGAAGGCTGTTCTCTTTTTCCCTTTCAGGAAAAGAGAGCAGATGCCTTCCCCTCACCACGAAGGTCCCCAAAGAACACATGGAAAAAGTGCTGGCCGAAGTGAGCACGAGCTGGGGAGGAACATTGTAGCCTGGCTCATTTGTTCTTCCACAGAATGTGAAATTTTTGCATTGGCTGGGCTGGAGGTGAGAAGAGGTAGAGGAAGAGAAAGAACAAGGCACTTATCAATAACACACAATACGACTATTAACCTCTAAGGACACAGATGGAAGACACTGCTCCAGGAGCCTCTTGAAGGTGGCTCATTCTCTGATTCTACAGTGTCACATACAGATCTGTAGCCTGCAAAGGATCGTGTGGTGCAAGAAGGGGGTGCCAATCAACAGAATTGTGAAAATTATTTACATAGCTCTGTTCAAGGAGGACTATGAGAAAAGATTCTGATTCTATAAAAGTTATAGTAATGAAACAAAACACCTTACCTATGGGATGGGGCCATGCCTCTAAAGTCACCCTGCTACTTAGAAAAGACAAGGGAGAAGACAAAATGGATGGCAGACTACTTGGGGTAGAGGTTGATAGAGGGACTAAAGGCTGACTTGAGTCATGTGCTGGGACATTCGGGTACTCAGGAGTCCCTCAATCCCTTATAGTAGCTGGAACCAATACGTGTGTCTCACTATTTATGAAGCCTCTGGAGTTGAGATTGCTGCTAAAATGTGGTTGCTGATTTCAAATTTAAAAAAAAAAAAAAAAACTCTTTTCTGCTACCCATATGATTTTCCAGTCAAAAACTGAACCATCTATACAAATTGTTGCTTGGCATTGGACACCTCATCAAAGAAGACGTAGCTACCATGGCTTTCAGAAATTAGGAGCCTCTAATAAAGAGCTGGCACTGCAGCCTCTGGAAAGTTCTGGGGTCCCAAACATCCGACAGAAGCCAAAGTTAGATACTAGATGAAAGCCTTGGTTTTTAGGGTCTCTAGTTCTTGATGCAAGAGGAGACCTTACAAAAACAGTCAAGGGTTGAAAATGATTCCAGGTTCTGAATTGTTGGCAGGAAAATTGGGCAGCTGCACACAGAGCTGTTTCTGTAGCTAGAGACACTCCCGGAGAGAAGCTCATTCATCATTATCTAGAAGGAATTGTTGCTAAATTGTTCCTGGACAGCACCAAACACAGGCTCCTAGATGTCTGTGTACAAGTTGCAAAAGGCATTATTGCTTCTCAGTTGACTCTGGCTTGGCCAGGCTCAGTAGAATCTCCATCATGGCTAGGTTCTGAGGCATCCCACATCTGACTCATTAATGCAGGTTGTAGAATATGTACCTCTCATGTCCAGGTTCTGCCCTATTTTCTACTCTATCTGGGGTTGGCCACAATCGTGTGGTACATAAGGTCAGAGACAAACAACATGTCCTAGACTAGAAGTTTCTCCATGATTAGCAAGAACATCTCAGAATTGAACATCAGCTCTCTCTGCATCTGTTGCTCTAGAATCATGAAGTTGGTAGTACATGAAGTACAGGCTTCCCAGCCCCAAATTATTTCTACCAAGCACAGTAAAAGTATTATAGAGATAAAATAGAAAAACAAAAACAAAACACTCTGCTTACAAATGTAAGCTTCACACAGCTTACTAAATGTAGGAGATAAAAAACTACTGGCAATTGCTACATAGTATAATAGGTACTTTCAGACTGAGTATAAAATGACATATGAGTAGATGGGAGGCTCATAACACAGTTTGAGGGACTAAAGAAGGCTTACAAAAGTCACAGGGAGTTCTGTAGAGAAGCAAAATCTAACTACAGAGTTCGAGACCCAGTAAACTAAGGAGAAATTGTTTCACATTGAAAATGAGCATTTCAGCCGGGTAGTGGTGGCACATGCCTTTAATCCCAGCTTTTGGGAGGCAGAGGCAGGCGGATCTTTGTGAGTTCAAGTCCAGTCTGGTCTACAGAGCAAGATCCAGGAAAGGCGCAAAGCTACACAGAGAAACCCTGTCTCAAAAAATCAAAAAAA